TAGGGTTTAGGGTCTAGGGTCTAAGGGTTTAGGGTTGAAAGGGGTTGAGGAGGCTCAGGTTTTAGGGTTAATTCCGAGTCTTGGGCGACCCGAAAGGGGGTTCAGGGTTTAGGCTTAATTCCGACTCTTGGCTGGTTGAGAGGGACTCTTCGGGGGGGTAATGGGGTGGTGGGGTAAGGGACCTGAATACACCTCAACGGTCCTATGGCTGATGTTTTGCTACGGGATTTCTATCATCTTGCCTGTGTCTGTCGTATCCCGTGTAGGGGGGTTTTGTGGCCTCAAAAGGACCATTCGGGTATCGAAGGCTATGTGGTTGTCGGACTTGGTGTATATAGGTATATAGGTAGTTCTCTAAATCAGGGTCCCTTTTTAGGTCCCCAATATAGTACGGCACTCTTATAAAAAAGGGACCCTAATTTGGAGAACTACCCATATAGGGTTTGAAAGATCCGACTCTCAAGTAGCCCAAGAGTTCCCATCCTTATCCCTTAGCAACCTCCGACCAAGGGTCCAACATGAACCCCGCCGCCAGAGCCCTCAAACTCAAGACCTTGACCCGGAACTCTGTCTGACGAGACATCAAAGCAGGGAGTTATCAGCCATTTAAACTTCGGGAGAGTTTCGTCGCGAAGCTAGTGCAACAGAATCCAATTTGCTTGCGCTGACAAGGGTGTTCCATGCTATGACTGCTCGGCACAAACCATGGATCCTAAACTACCTTCGACCCTTTTGATCTAAGGTTGAACCCATGGGCCCCTAGTATGGGCCCTTAACCCTGGGATCCCTATACACCTAGTATATACCCTATATGTACCCTTAAGGGTCCCTAGAAAGGCCTAAGGGTCCATACCAGGGGCCCATACTCCTAACCTTGGATTTGAGGACGTAGATCAGGAATCATGCTACGGAGCTCTAACTATATGGGTTTCCAGATCCACAGGCAGACCCCTAAACCATAACCCTTATAACCCTAAACCCTTAAACCCCTACACCCTAAACCCGAAACCCTTATAACCCTAAACCCCTAAACCCTACACCCTAAACCGGAAACCCTCGACCCTGGATTCTCTACAAACAGGAAGAATCTTCCGGAAGATATTTCCCAATTCAAATTAAGCCCTGAACTTATAACGACTTCTCTCGGAGGACGAACCCCTCGAAAGAACACTCTCTTCTTCGAACTCGGGCCCAGCATCAATCCTGAAGAAGAGGCCGGGGGATTGGTTTAGGGTTTGGGGTTTGGGGCGCGCAGGGTTGAGTCTGAACTTCGCGCCTTTTTTGTGCTTTCGAATAAACCGAAAACAGGTTGACTGCTTTACAATCGCGCGGTTTATGGGTCAAGGGGGTTTGCGGGCTTTAGGGATTCAGAGGCTGAGGGTAGCGGGCTATTAATAACCAACCCAAAACCCTAAACCCTAAACCCTGAACCTTAAACCGGTTTAGGGTTTAGGGTAAAACCCTGTTTGTTTATGGGTTTGGGACTTCGCCTTTCGAGCTTGAAGTCACATGGTTTAAGGGGGGAAGAAGGGTTTGCAGGATTATGGGCTTCGGTGTCGAGGGACTAGAAGTAAGGCTAAGGTCTTCTTGGAGGTTTGGTAGAGTCGCTGCAGACCGGATGCAAAAAAGGGTGCATGAACTCGGGCTTGAAGTTTAGACTTTTGAGGGTTTATGGGAAAACGATTTTTATTAAGTCTCCTTGTCATAAACATGCGATGTTAACATTTCAACTGTTCATGCCCCTCCCTAAACCCTAAGCCCTAAACCCTAAACCCTATAGATCCCAGAAGCTCCGTTATCGGCAAGTGCAAAGGGCAACCTTTCGCCTGTCCTAGAAGGGTTAAGCTTGCGGTCTAGGATTGGTAGAGTTGGGGGCTTAGGGATTTGTAGTGGATGGCGCATCCAGCTTTACGGATTTGTGGAATGTCAAATAGCGGCATTAGGGTTTGCTGTTTACGGTTTGGGGTTCGGAGTTTACAGTTCAGGACAGGATTTGGGGGTTAGGGCTTAGGACGTGCACGTCCCCTGGGCATGGCTCGCGTCTAATATGACAGAACTCCCGGCAGAAAGCTGGCTTCCGTTTCTGAAAGCCATCGAACAGCTTGTAGCAAAATGGTGGAGTGCTCAAGTTCGCGCGGGCTAAGTTTAAGTGTAGAAGGTTTTAGCATTATAGCGTCACGGGTTCAAAGCTCCAAAATCGCTAAATCACAATCGACGACGTTCGCCCTAAAGAAACAGAAGAGACCTCTTAATCCTGAGCCATGTAAACCCCCAAACCATGACCCCCTTTAATTACCCATAGGCCCCATAGTAGTTCCTTTTGGGGGTTCATATTTACAATCCTATAAGGTCATCCCGAAAAGGAACTACTATGGGGC